CCTTCTCACGCTACGGATTTCCCATGACTATCAATGAAGAAGCGCGACAGTTTGTCTAGACTCCGAAAAATTGAGCCGTTCACTACCCTTTGTTATTGGATGTTACTAAAAGTAGTAACGAGGAACGAGGAACGGAGAACGAGGAACGGGAGATGGAGAACGGGAAACGGGAAACGAAATACGAGGAACGGGGAACGGGAAACGGGGAACGGGGAACGAGGAACGGGGAACGGGGAACGCGGAACGGGGAACGGGGAACGGGAAACGGGAAACGGTAAACGGGAAACGGAAAACGGGAAACGGGGAACGGGGAACGGGGAACGGGGAACGGGTGTACAGCGGTAACCCACCTAAGAATTAAAAATGGCGGAGTAAACGATGTTTACAAACACTGATTTTATCGCTAGGTCGCCGCTTGCAGCGAAATTAGACGACTCGCTTTTATTTAACTATTGCCGAGGCGAAGCCACGAAGCCTAGTATTCCGAGGCGAGAATTCGAAGTCAATGTTTCTGCAATGGCTACCACCATTTGTTCTGACCTCTCTCTTTGTTTTTCCTCCCTGAAATCTACATCTTTTGGCAGAGTTTGGGTATGGTGGTTGTTTGCTTTGCCCAACAGCATTTTTTGCAGATAAGTAGCAAGGAGGTAATATCAGGTTAACAGAAATGAGCTAGGAAACGTAATAATCAGCCTAGTTACTAAAATTACTACATGCAGATATCTGCTTACCTTACCGAAAAATAACATCAGGAACATATCTTTGTATCGACCCATAAACTTCCATGTAAACAATAGAGAAATCAAACATTGACAGAAATTTTAATAACATTTAACTTAACAGGAAAACATCAGTTATGTCTTCAAGAATGTAGGTGTATGAATTCAAATTCATGCTAATGCTCTCAATAATATTTACACTGCATTGATCATATTCAAGAGAAAGTGATTCCCATAATGGGCGTCAAAGTCATTCAGCTGTTTGCTTTACAACATTATTGACATTGCTAGGTTGTAACGGTGAAGATATTGGAGGTAAACTTCATTACCTTGCAGTACAATTACTCTATGAATATAAGAATAAATGTCGCGAGCTTGTAGTTCTGAGTTGATTGTTTAAATGTTGTGCATGAATTGTAAGATACTCACCTCTCCGAGGATTAGATTTCTATGCAACCGGCAATGTGTGCGAGACAAAAACCAAGTTTATGAGGCACCCAACATTTCAAAGTAAAATCCTTCAATAAAACCTACATTTACCGTCCATGCTTTTTGCTCCGACGATCACGTTCGAAGAGTACGTACTACTACTTGCCAGACCCTTTCAGTTCGCTTTACTCCGCCATTTTGAATTCTCAGGCGGGTTACCGCTGTACACTCTTTCCCCGTTCCCCGTTACCAGTTTTAGTAACATCCCTTTGTTATTAGAGAGGGAATTGCCGCAACGAAACTTGTTGATATAAATAAAGATTCTGATGCTGGAATTATTTTAGTAATTTAATCATGCTGAGTGCTGAAAAGCATGTGCTGAGTGCCCTTCCATTACAGCGTGGTTGTACTTGTCTCAACAGTCGTGAATTTTGATAGATTCACTTGCTTAAAACTGAAAAAACGATCAACTTTTCCACACACCACTCATTCATTTGGTCGATTTCATTTCACGCTTCTAAAGATTCCTCATTTTAAAGATTAACGCTTTTAAAGATTCTCGCTTTAAAAGATTCCCCATTTTGAAGATACCCGCTTTTAAAGATTCCCCGTTTTAAAGATTTTTCATTCCCCATTCCCCACTCCCATTCTCATATTCTCCGTTCCCTATTTTAAAGTTGGGCTGTACGCAGGCTGGGATCGCGCGCGTGTACCAAATCGCTCAAGGGTCAACCGTGAACATTTAAGATAGCGTTGTGTAACAAGTATTCAAAGGTACCTCACCAAACTTGGTGAATGATTGGTTTAATCTTTCAACGTCATGGATACCAAATTTGGGGGAAATCGAAAGTAACGCAATACCATTTCGAGCCGTCGGAAGTTGGGTAGAAATTTCTACCCAATTTAAAGGGGCTGCCGGAATTAAACAGGATTTGGTGGAGAATAAATCTAGATTAAAGGTAGTATGTTCGTGCAGAAACGTAAACACAGTAATGTGACGGTCTGTACACAAACCTGCATGTTTCACGCTTGATCAACTACGTAGAAGCTGAATAGCGTAAACAAAAATACTCCCTGTAGCACGCTTTAATTTTCGAAACTTTACACTTGTTTACGTTTCCAAAAAGCGTCTAAACATTTATTGGCTGGTTTATTGTCTGATGTGAAATGTTCACCATAACAGGAAAGCGACTATTACTGCACTTGGACGATCAATAAGCGTAATATTTTCAATAAAAATTATAGTTCTTTGGTGAAAAATTGCCAGCAATTGTGTTAAAAGTTCTGGCTGCCGCCAGCAGCAGGCTGTTATTTGAACCCTGAGGATAATACCGGAAAACGATGTAGATCGGAGTATTCAATCATAATTGCTTATAGGGGTGATGGCTGACTTACCATTCAGGCTAATAAAAAAATAATAATAATCGAGTGCCACTGCCCTCCAACAACAAAAAAAATTGTTACGTTTTTAAAACTTCACGCTTTTAAAGATTCCCCATTTTAAAGATTCCCGCTTTTAAAGACTCCCCGTTTTAAAGATTCCCGCTTTTTAAGATTCCCCGTTTTTAAGACTCATGCCCTTAAAGATTCCCGCTTTTAAAGAGAGGTTGGGGGCCCTGTTTTATACAGAACACAGAAATGAATAGTATTTTTTTAAAGCTTTTTTAAGCAAGAGTTTATAATCTCTTGTCCTAAATAAAAAAAAAAAATGAACATTTAAGTTCTCGGATAACAACTAAAGTTCCATTTAAACATCTTCTCGAATTCTGGTGAGGAACTAAAGAAGTCTCGCCTTCCATTTTAAATGAAATAATTTGATCACATTATTAGTGTTATGCAATCGAGCTTACAGCTTAAAGAAGTGACTTGGCTATTTCTCGACCAGTCTTCGAACAGGAAAGTTTTCGTGGGGTAGGCGTTTTTTTAATTCAGGTAACGTTATTGTTCTCATATGCTGGTAGCTACTGTGAAAGTTTTTAAAGTGCGTATGTTGTGCAACAACTATTTTCTCTTCTTCGAACTACCCTCTTTGTGAGGTGCACGTGAGTTTGAATTTTAGAACGTCAGCTCAATAGGCAATTCGTATTCAAAGTGTTGGCTTGAGCTGGTGATCTCCCTTTGATTTCAATCAAGGAGAGCATCACAGTAATCGTCTAACATCAGTCAAAACGGCTTGTGCACGTACGACTTTGATCTCTCTTCTTTAGCTGTTAACGGGTTTAGGAGAATACGTAGAGGTATGACTCCGTCCTACTCTCCGTCTCCGTCTAAGTCGCACCAATTAAGAAATGCAGTATAGAGCTCTCCAGAACTATAACATTAAGACACAAAGAGCACAAGTGTTCCTCTACCTATAGGACATAATACTAATCCATCACACTGTAGTCAGCCTCTTCAACTTGAGAAGTTATATACAGAGATTTGTACTCTTAGGCTGAGTGAAGAACTGACATGTAGATCTAGTGAGTGAAGCATTGAAATATGAAGTTAGCTCAGCCTTAAAATGGAACAACGAAAACTCTTAGGTAACAACACATTTGAGTGACTGCTAAATTTTTACTCGTTAGGGGGCCAGGACAGGTCTTCACATCGCTTTAATTTTCTCCCATGGCATCAAAGTATCATTTGATTTTGTTGCTGTGCGCTTGGAACACAGGTATGTGAAAAAATCTAACCATTCTTTTAGTTGAAAAGAGTTGAAGAGGAAAAGAGCAGCATACAGAATAATCAGAAGAAAGAAATGGAAATTACCTCGACGGCTTCTTCTTCTTATGCTAGTACGGGATCTTTTGGCAAACCTCTCATTTAGGGGAGGGATGTTTCAACTTTCCATTCACCTCACACTGTTTAAGATGGCACTTAATTAGAGGAAAGTCTGCCTGAATGAACGAGAGGGTACGTAGAAAAATCGCTTACTATTTCCTCGCTTTGAACTTGGGACATCGGGAAAGCTGGTTTTCGAAAATTCAGCTTGATTTTTATTTCTGGGAAAGATATAAACCCTGGATTTATCTCGGGAAATGTTACCAATGGGGGCATAGGAACAGTAGAAAAGCCAAACGATCATCACTTTCAACACAATTCGACGGTTTCGTCTTTAGGACGAGTGGACTGCTGCTTATCAAAAATTAAAAAAAAATACACAGAGAATAGTTATCGAACTGATATATTGATATTAGAATCAATATGAATATAAACCACGCGCGCTGATTGGCTGGTTCAGAAGTGATTAGCAAGTACTATTCATCTCCGAAAAGGAGGTCCTTATATAAAATTGTATTTGAGCAACCATTACTATTATCATTTCTTATCATCAATGTCATTATCATAAATGTTATTATTATTTTAATTATTATTGTTACCATTATTGTTATTATTATCATCATCGTATAGTAGGTCTGATGTGGTCGCACATTACAAAATATTTTGAGACCAGAAACGCTACAAAAGTATTTTCAAGGACTTGTAACAATAAAATTGAAAAAAATATATACGTTAAGATCAAAACTCTAAATAATTAAAAAATTGTGGAAGATATCTTGATTTCAATTCTTTACTGGATAACTCTCTTTGTATTCAGAAAGATCCTCAAAGTTGATGATGGCCACAATTTGAAGTGCTACTTCTTCTCCAACTACATTTGCAAACTCTTTGTAAATTTGTGTTCCTATTTCGATACGACGAGGCATATTGATGTTCTTTAACCATACTGATCATTCTTTTATTTTTCTTTTAGAATGTGTCTCAGGCACCTTTACCTGTGGTAGTGTGCAGTACAGTACACAGAGGATAGACGAGAACGAGTATATTAACAACTGTATTCCAGAACAATGGAGAACGTTTTTCATAAATATGAATGAAGGCCAATCGCCATTGTTGGGTAGGCTAGCCAACAATCTGGTAACAAAGGGTGAAGACCTGAATAACGCTATTGAACCTAGAATGCCATTGCTGTTTGAGGCTTTGAGATATGTGAGCCCAAATGAAGTGAGAGTGGTGATTTTAGGCCAGGATCCAACTCCACAAGAAGGCAAGGCTACTGGCGTGGCATTCCACGTGTTCAATCCTCGTTCTGTACCAGCGGTATTAAACATGTTTTTAGAGGTGGCCTTTGAAGGGTTTCCTGTGGACTTAGACAAAGGTGATGTTACTTATTGGGCAAACCAAGGCGTCCTTCTGCTTAACACGGCGTTTACATGTCCACATAAGCCTCCGAAAGAGGAAAAGCAGAACAAGATTAAGTATGAAGGACACTTTGAAATATGGGAGGCTTTTACCGCATCCCTAATTAGTTTTATTGGGGGTCACCAAGCGAATCCATCTGTTTGGCTGTTGTGGGGGAAAAGGGCAAAAGGCTTCTCGCAATTCATAGATAACAAGCACCATAAAATTGAAGGAGGGCACCCGTCACCTATGGGCACCTCCATTCATGGAGATACGTTTTTCGGTGGCAACTACTTTAATCGGGCCAATCAGTTTTTAAGGACCAACGGTATTTTGCCTATAGACTGGTCATTATCATCTAGCGGGTTGAATAGTTTGACGCTATACCCTTCAAATTGGCAGGAGTGGCAAAAAATGCTTCTAAAGAAAAAGGAGGAAATACAATTGGTAATAAATTCGGGAAAAGCATCTGTGAATGAAAAAAACGAGCTAGAAAACGAGCTGCATAAAATCAACATACAATGGAGTCTGTTGCCATTAGAACAATTAAAACAGCACTACATAAACATGGTAGAAAAAATAAGACAAATTCAGTCAAACTAGTTATTTTGATGATAATTGTATGTTTAATGGTGTCTCTCATAACTGAGAGTAACTGTCAATTGTAGAGTCAAGCAGTTAAGACGGAGTCTCTGTAAGAGTGATGCGATCGATTTTGGCGGCGTAAGAAGACAACATTAGATAAGCAGAGTAATCGCACTTAATTTTCTTGCTTCTTGCTTATACTTTGAAAGGAAATGTCACCAGTAAATGAATAACCCAAAAAGTGCCAGTGGTGGTAGTGTTTGGCTGGAATTAGAACTCCGAAACCCATATCGTTTGACCCTCGATCAGGCAACTAATGATGAATGTGTGTTGCTGAATAATGGTCAAATAGTGTGATTCCAGTAACTCCGATGAAAGTAAATAATCAATCAATAAATCAATCAATACTTTATGTACCCACGTGGGGTTAAGGAGCTCGTAGAGCTCCTTCAAAATACGTACGTGCCTCTAAAATTGAGAATCTTAAAAACCTAATACATACTGTCCAGAACTAATAGATTAGAAATTACAGTAACTTAAAATTAACATTAAAATTCAAGTTTGTACAATAAAATTAAGAGTCACCTAAATACAGGTATAAAGTGGTAAAACAGCTAAATTAAGCTTCAATATTCGCAATAGCTTCTTAAAATGGTTGACATTATTGGCCATTTGTATACACTTGTAGGTACACAAGTGTATACAGATTACACATTATAAGTAAAAGAACACACATTATAAGGAAAAGATCTTTTCATAAAATTTAAATTTAATTTAGGTGTGCCTAAAATAATGCCGGTTCCTCTCAGATTGTACATAGTTTCCCTAGAACTAAATAAATCTTTGATGTACAGTACTCGGGACCCTCATTATGCGAACATTCTCTGGTCTAAGGTTTCCATATTCAAAATTCGCAAAAATTCATCATTAAGGGTAGATTTGCAATAACCTAGCAATGATCTAAGAATACAATAGTTGGCATCTTCTAGCCGATTCGGTTGCACTTTCCCCACTCTAAGAAAGAGGGGGCAACAGTATTCAAAATGAGGGAGAATGAAAGTTTCATAGAGCCTTAACATAACATTGCCAGGGACAAAACACCTTATTCTCCTGAGCGCGCCACTTTTAGCGTATACCTTTTGAAGCTGTTTTAGTAATGTGATCCTTGAAAGATAGCATGCTATCAAGTTCAATGCCAAGTATTTTGATAGATGGCAGTGTCTCAAAGACAGAGCTATGTATGGCCAAGTCGTAGTTGTACTTACAGGGACCAATAGGTACTGCTTGCGTTTTTGTGTTGTTGATCACCAGATGATTCTCTTGAAACTACGATGATAACCGTTCAAGACCGTTATTCACTACAAATTTGAGAACCATGGGCGAGACGTCAGAGGCATACATGGTTGTGTCGTCGACGTACAACCTCAGAGATACAATGGCATGGGGTAATTCAAATCGTTTATACAAATGTTAAACAGCAGCGGTCCGAGGAGGGACCCTTGAGGGACGCCCACCATCACTTCAGAGTAGCTACTAGTAGAACAAACACCGGACAAATTAACTCGCTGTCTTCCCCCCAACAAATAGGAAGAAATCAAGTTTAATGCAGACGGAGAGAAGCCATACGCTTTTAGTTTAGCCAATAGGAGGCTATGGTCAATAGAATCAAATGCTTTGGACAGGTCCTCTGCCAAAGCTGAAACTGCCTCCCTGCTGTCAAGGCTTCGCCTTCAGTCCTTAGTCATCTCCAAGAGTGCGTTGCAACAAGAGTGTTTCTTCAAGAACCCAGATAGATTCGGAGAAAGATCTTCATGTTAAGCGCCTTACAGCTGGTCAAACATAACCGTCTCGTACACTTTAGAAATGGCGGTAAGAATGGAAACAGCTAGATGATAATTTTCTTTGCGTGTATCCTCATCCTTTTTAAATACTGGTATCAAGTTCCCACTCTTCCATTCAGTTGGCCATGATTGGTTCATAATCAAATAGTTAATCAGCTGTGTTATCTCCTCTGTTAGGACGGGAGCAGCCAGCCTTCAGAGACGCGGTGAAATTCCATCTACGCCAACAGCCTTCCGGGAATTTAGATTGCCTAAGATTTCCCGTACATAGCCGGCAACTCACAGTCTGGAAGACAAACTGATCTAGCAGCATTTTGCTAGCGATTAGATTAACAGCTGGATGATCGTTGAAATGATTTTCACGGTGATTTGTTGAAACTACATTGGCAAAATAGCATTAAATATTTCCACCACCTGGCTGGGTTCCGTCGTGACCACACCGTTCTCAACAAAAGTTATGTTGTTTAGTTTATTTGCACCAGAATTAGGAAGAAAAGGTTTCATTTTCTTCAAGATAGATGTCACTTGCACGGCTGCGCGGAGATTTAACAATCATAGATTCAGGTACAGTTTACAATGAAATGATATCATAGCCTATGAAAGAGGCTATGATAGTAAGACTATCATAGCCTGTCTTACTATCATAGTCTTCTATCCTTAGTCTTACTCATTATGAGATACTTGTAAGACATTAACATCGTACCTAAAAACATCAATGACGAAGTATCAATAAATAGTTGAATATTTGAATCGATATCTAAATGAGAGAAGTATACAGTGAAGCAGAATTAAGATATAAAATGGGCAAAATTGTACTATTTAAGTAATTAAGGCTACGCGAGTGTGTTTTTATAAGTTTATGGCTTGCTTTCAACGTTTGGAGCGATATATTTCTAAAAGATAAGCCTTAAAAATGTTTCAGGATCTAAATGATGTTGTTTTAACATTACCAGTTAATTATTGTAGCTTCTCGCATTAAGTATAGCTGCCCACGAGAAGCGTTTACATCGTAGCCTTAGCTATCTTAAGAACTAAATGTTGTTGCTTTAACATTATCAGCAAATTCTTATAGCCTCTCATATCAATGTAGCTGCCCATGAAAAGCGTATACATCGTAGCCTAAGCGATTTCTAGATCTAAATATTGTTACTTCAACATTATCAGTTCGTTATCATTATAGCTTCTCATATTAATATAGCTGCCCATGAAAAGCGTATACATCGTAGCCTAAGCGATTTCTAGATCTAAATATTGTTACTTTAACAATATCAGTTCGTTATCATCATAGCTTCTCATATTAATATAGCTGCCCATGAAAAGCGTATGCATCATAGCAAGATCTATATATTGTTGCGTTAACATTATTAGTTAATTATCAAAACCTCTCATATTTGATATAATTTGGATATATCAACAAAGTTGAAATGGTAACTTGGCCACCGTAACGATTACAAAAGCTGACGTTTCGAGCGTTCGCCTTTCGTCAGAGCGAATAGAGGAATTGTGGGTTGTGTGTGATATTGTGTGAATATGTGATATAGCTGCCCATAGGACCAGCTAAGCTATTCAGTTTATCTCGCTACATCCCCCATATTTTATATATGCCCTTTTCAAATCTATTTATTGGACAAATAAAGTTTTTCCTTAAACTCTACTCTGGAATATTCCTCAGTACAGATTGCATGTGAAAGGCTGCAACTCTTGGTAAAAAAAGCTAACTCCCGGTTAGCTTAATTGGTAGAGCGCTGGACTGTTGTGCGGGAGGTCGTGAGTTCAAATCCGGCCGGACCAACACTCAGGGTCTTTAAACAACTTAGAAGAAAGTGCTTCCTTTATAATAATATCTGCAAATGGTTAGACTTTCTAGTCTTCTCGGATAGGGACGATAAATGGAGGTCCCGTCTCCTGCAGGGTTGGGGTAGAAGACGTTAATTTCCCACACACGAGATTACTCTGTGATGGATGTCCTCCCCGGGGTGGGATGGGTGGGTAAAAAAGGGGTTAGGCGTCAATTGGAACGAAAGTTCTGTTCCTTCCTCCTGCCATTCCTGTGGCGAATGAATTAAACTTAAACTTAAACTTAAACTAGTGGAGTTGGTAGGGGTTTAAAATGCGTTCTGTAAGGGGAAAACAATGAATTGCTATGAAGTTCTCCAGGTATGAAATCCACTTACTAGTCCATACTGACAATGACCTCACCCTCCAACTACCACCCTTCCTTGACATTCCTCATTGTCAACATAATGTCGCGTCGAACTTTTTCGTTTTAACCGAGCACCAGGATCATAGATGCGTTGTTTCCGATGATAGAATGTTGTTGCTGCGCAGTCAGCGTGGTGAGTCATAATCAGCATCATAATCAGGATCAGAAAAGAATGTGAGGGATGCAAATTCTCCAATAGATCACTTTTTAGCTGAAAACGTTACAGCTTTTAACCAGAGTGCACTGCGCCATGATTGTTGGGTTTAGTGTATTGCATTACTTTGCGTTACTACTGTAGGGACATTTCCCAATGTTGTTAATCGATCTACCTTCCTAAGTAAAGGCAAATTAACTAATCGCGAGTATTGTATGGTAAATCTACTATCTTGATTACTGAATGAACGACAGTTGAATTAGAGCAATGAAAGTAGTCACTTGATCAATGAATAACTCTACCGTGGCGTAAGTTGACACGCTGGTAGTCCGGAAGAGGCAGTTGACCGATGGCGTTCATAGGGCCTGTGCGACTCTTTCCATTCGCTAGTGCTTTTAAATCTTCTACCCTCAAAATTAAGCTCTTATTAGAATATCTCTTAATGACTTTCCTTTGCGATGTAATAATAAGGGTTAGTTTTAAGATGTCATCTCCCCATCTGTATGTTCTTGGGGTTTGGCAAAACCGGATGAGATTGTGTTACAAACGGCAATATTTTTCTTATGTGCGCGCGCTATTTTCTTTGTGTTTAGTACACTTTTTCTCCCTCAGAAAACATCTGGAGAGATATATTTCTTAATGTAAATCTTGGAACACGCAGGTAGATACATCATCGCGAAATTATGTCACTCAAACAGAATGTGCTGCAGCATTACTATCCGTTAGATACACTAGTTAGGTTTATAACATAACCAAAGTAAAGCGCGCGCTCTGATTGGTCAATTTAGCGTCCCTCATTTGCCCATGGGTGTACGCTGCTGACGTGAGCAAATGCAAAGACTATTTTTCCGCGCGCGCTTGTTTTTTCTGGTCACGTAAGATTTGTTAAATAAAAGGGAACTCTTTAGCTACAATGTATCAATGTTATGTTATAAAACAAATGGTAAACACCACACCGTGCACTATTGAGTTATGGATGCACTTGGGAGGTTTGCTAAGCACTCAAGAAGCTAGAGTCGCTCTCGGCTATCGCCTCGGCGACTCTTAACGCTTCTTTCGTGCTTAGCAACCTCCCGCGTGCATCCATAACTCAATAGTGTACGCTGTGGTGTTTACCATTTGTTAAATACACATCCATATACTTTATTCAAATACCAACTTCAGGACTCTTCAGCATAAGATAAAAAAATTTTGTATAAAAACCACCATAGACAACTAAAAACTATATTTACAACTCTTAGTAAACACGAATTATAGGTTACTAGTATCAATTATAAATTATAATTCTTAAAACTGCTGAAGAATCTAATTTCAGTACTACTATATGTACATTCAAACTCGTCAATGAGAAGGGCCTGGAGTTTTTATTTTAAAGGGTTTTTTTTTGCACTCCCAGAGTTCTTCAACTCCTCAAGCAAGGAGCTCCATGCTGCCACAGTTCTACCGTCAAAGGTCCTCTTACTGAAGGTAGACTTGCACATGAGGATCTGAAGTTTCTCTTTTTTTCTTAAACTAGCGGTATGTATATCTGATCTGATCTTCTGACAAACTTTTTATCTACGCCTTAGCGGGCGAACTTATAAAATGCCGAATAGGTATTCTCTAGAGTACGAATAGCTATTCTGCAAAGTATTCTAAAGTACCATGTAGAAAAGAGCGAGTCTGGCCCTCCAAATCTTGCACTCTATTCGGCACAGACAGAAAACTTGTGGATTTCTCTCCTTGGAGTCGACAAGGAAATATAGGTTTTCTCCATAACGGTCTGTTGTAACTGTGATACGAGAGTTGTACGTGTGCTGCTGCTGCTGCTATTAAAGCTTGCCATGACATGATGTAATCACTGGGTGGTTTGATATTCCTGCCGCAGTCAATATTTTGGCGAAAGGTAACACTTGATAATTGCTGGAAATTGAAACTAAAGGCGAACGCAGTTCGACGAACCCGTATCTTGCCTGAAAAATGTTGAGTAACCTTTAATTACAGTAATCGTTCATAATTCATGCGGTGTGCTCTTTTCGGCACGGTGCTTTACTCGGCATTTAAAGCCGTGACACTGTCACGAAGTTTGGCATTAAGACGAACTAGTAACCAGTTTAGCTCTTGTAACACGAGGATATATGCAGGTATTTATTAGTGCCAATTGAAATGAGTGCAGCAAAATTTAGGACCTTCTGCAATTTATCTATTTAGACGTGTTTACCAGTGGCATTCTCTTCATCTACTTTGACTCTATTGAAGTAGAGCAAGGTAATGGAAATTCAAATTATCGCGCTTCTATTTCCAATTCGGACTCATGCACTGTTACCCTTAAATTGTAGGACGCTAAGTATTACTGCCATTCAGTTGCGTCGCCGGTCAACAAGTGAAGGGTTTTCTGCTTCATGCAAGATGACATTTATGCTTCTATATATAAAACCAAACCAAAACTAAACAAAACAAAAACTGCAAAACAATAAATAAAGAACGCAAAGACAACTCTGGCTGTATGGTACATCGAGCCTTTAATTCGACCATCTTCTACAAAAATTTTTGTGACTAAACTAAGATAACACGCAATAATTTCAGCATCGGGATGAAATTGAGATATATTTTTGTCTGCCCTGCACAGAGAAGATGATATATTATTGTTTGCATTCTTTCGTAAACGAAAGAAATTTATTCATTGTAAATAACACTGTAGTGTGCGTACGAACTGTGGTTATTGCAGTGAGTTTTGAAGAAGTACTTCTTCGCAAATGGCATTTTTAACATTTGATGTTTCTACTGTTTCATTCTTTGTAGCGGTATAAATTAAGGTGCATTTAACATTTGATATCTCTACTGTTTCATTCTTTGTAGCGGTATAAATTAAGGTGCATCTAGGTGGCTGGATCTGCTTGCAGCTCCCGTCATGAAGTGTCCGTCAGGAAGTGATGCTGCAGCAGCTCATCGGCCGAAGGCCGCCAATCTGGATCCCTAAAATGACAAAAAGGAAAGGTGATCAAAGCTGTGTTAATCATACAATAGGATCAAGAAAAATACGCCGAAATTCTCTGAAAAAAAAAAAAGAACTGTAGAGAGATCCTTTATTATTCAGGTTGTTTCTAAGAGGTAGGTGTAGTTATGCAACTAGGAAACTAACCTCGTGAGACACTTGCTAACAAAGTCTCGGGCAGCTGATGAGAAATCCTCACTGAGTTGTGGCACTGTTAATGAACCACTTCCAATTGCAAAGATGGCGGCCATAGGAGGCATGTCAGACCTGATAATGAAACAGGAGATGCAGCTAAATTACTCCTTTCCACGTTTCTGAAAGCAACATGACACTTCGTCCTGATGGTCCAGTTACATGCCTGTACTACACGAATGCATTCCTTCTTTCGAGGACAAAAAACTGTGTTAACCGCCCCCCCCCCTAACCACACACACACACATACACACACACGAACGCACACACACACGCACGCACACACACACACACACACACACACACACACACGCGCGCGCACACACACACACGTATGCACCCACCAAACCACCCATGCCCTTTGAATCTCAGAATGTACCTTAATAACAGGTATGAGTGGTCGATTCGAAAAAAAATTCATGTTATATCAATATTGAAATCATCGTGAACATACCACGGAGGCTTTCCAGTTGCCATTTCAAACACTGTGCAACCAACACTCCTGTTAAAACAAAAAGGAAACATGTTAAAACAAAGAACATTAAACAACAGTGATCAAAGAGTCAGTCGGCCCAATAGGCAATCGTTCGCTTTTGAAACTGTTTTAGAAAAAATCTCGATCACACTCACCAGATATCAGACTTACGGCCATGTCCAGTCTCCCGGATAACCTCGGGTGCCATCCAATATGGCGTGCCCTTCATGGAACGAAGAATATTACTTCTACTCATGCTCAGATTCTGAAACAAAATCAGTTGAATCAAAGATCACGATACTATTTGGATCGCTTTCTCAACAATGAAAAGTTTTAAATATAACAAAACCGTGAAATAATTGCACTAAGGTGAAAACACCAAATGCTACCGAGATAAGACAATTCACAAATAAACATTTAGGGTTCCTTCATAGTGTAGAAGACAAAGAACAGGTTTTAATAGAACACCACCTCGTCAAACCTTTGTTTTCATTGTTTGCCTTGTAGTCTTCGATTGTCTTATGTACTCTATTACTTTGCGTCAACTGTGTCTTCTAGTATAGTCTCTCGGTCAAGAACTCATTACGATGACTCGGCCAGGTCTAGCACCCGTCCCTCCCGACCCGCGGTCCAAAGCACTGACCATTAGGCCACGGCGTCTCCCACACCCTATAAATAAGTATAGTAAGTAGCAAACCTTACCATGTAGAGACGTTTGGCGCAACCAAAGTCGATCAACTTGAGAACGCCACTCGCCATTATAAGAATGTTACCACCTTTGATATCTCTGATGAGCAAAAAGGATATAAAACATAAACTACGTGCATACCCAAGAAAGAAAAAATAGCTGTTGAAGACGACAAACTGGAATTAAACTTGGTTGAAGACAAGATTTACCCTTATACCTATGAATGACGTTGTTGCTATGGAGATAAGACACGCCCGACAGCAGCTGCTTCGTGTAACGACTAAACACGGGCTCGTCAAGACAACCAAATCTGAAAGAGGAACAAAAAACACAGTGCTACTTTCTGAACAAATGAACGACTGTAAAAGCTGTGTACCACGCGACTGTTGCTATAATTACATATCACATGATGTCTACGGTCTACAGGATGGGAAAATTTTACAACAACAGCTAATTGTCAAACCCCAAGATGGATAGCCTGAGTATTAGACAAGCTTTCAAATCTGGCCGATACAAGAGGATGTAATAATACTCCAATATCTGAACCGTGTAAACAGATTATTCAAAACTTTGGATAAAGATTAACCTTGATTCGCGGACTGCAATTTATCAATAAAGAAGGGGGATCACTCGGCTCGTTTTGGAGTTACGAGTACGAAAAGCTAAAATTATTGGTGTTTCACGAGGCGGCAGTGTTGCATTAGTAACCTGACGTGTTCACGACATGCTGCAACGCAACTGGGAATTTTTCCTTCAATACCAATTTCAAGGAAACCACGATTCATAAAAGACTTGGTGTTGATAAACAATGAGGAGTGGATGTTAAGCACAAGAATCACAAAATAGGAGAGCTGCTATGTCATTTTAAGTAGAAATTAGGCCAAAGACCTTACCGTGCGAGTATGGAGGCAATGGATCCCCCTGGGACGAATTCCATGAAGATATTTACTACACCTCCATCTAAACATGTGCCTATATACCTGAAAGTGATGGTCAGAAAATGCATTAGCATTACAAAGAACGCCATACTGTTCAAGCTAGCCACTTGTCCTTCCTAACAAAACAAATGAATAAATATATAAATAAATAAAAATTGATCTGTACTTACTTGACAATGTTTTTATGTTGTAATGATTTCAACAGTGATACTTCTTCTTGGAGTTTCTCGTATTGCTAATGCGGAAATAAAAGATGCAAGACGCTGAATATTGATAGAATTGTTAAATGAAATAATCTCAAGGAAATATAATGGCAGTTACAGAGGGTATTATCGTGAAATCTTAGTAGTTTTGCTTAATCTAATTGGCTGGAACATGGGAATTCCGACCCACTACACTATTATTAGTTTCTTGTGATAAAAATTACCCTTTGCTTTTCGTTTTGCTAAATACTGCTAATCGATCTCTTTTCGACGTAATGAGAGATAACAAAAAAGCCCGTTTCTGCAATACTCAGCCACACCATTACCACGAAGTCTACATACCTTCTCAGCCTCGTCAAAATTGCTGTTGTTGAGTTCCACCTGCTTCACGGCGATCATTTCTCCCGTGTTGGTGAGTCCGCACCAAACCTACACAAAGATACCACAAGATTGGTGTTCATTACATAGTGGTAACTCAATTTACCAATGCATTAAGGCATAATAATACAGATTACCTTAATCTTTATCATGAAAAATTTGAAGGTTTCAACTGCTCTTCATTTGGCAAATTGGATTGGAATGATAGACCAATTCATCGTCTCTTACTCTTGCCACTTGATTTTGCACTTCAGCCGTACATTTAGATTCGCTTAATACGTAATCAGTAGCTAAAGCACAAGTATACCTTCGTACAATCATCTACTAAAAGCAAGTGCCACTAACTAAAGGTGTTGTTAAAGCATGACGTAAAATAGTGCAAGTACCGCGCTTATACAGATTATCTGCAAACATGCTGACAAAAATTCCCACAACTATACCTAACAAATGAACAATATAATGATGGTTCTGCATTTCGCAGACGGGTTTTCCTCGATGGTAAGTAATCCATGACGTTTAGCATCAGTAACTTTCCGTTTGAAGAGCGCAGATAGCGCAACTATGTGGATTATCTGTAAATTCCTATGAACAATGGTTCTGGCTTTTGCTAACGAGTTTTCATTAATGATCTTTACTCCCTACTGCCTAGTATCAGTAACTTACCGTTCCAAATGCGCCTTTTCCGAGTATGTTGCCCTTCTTCCAAACAATCTCCTCTTCACAGCTTGTGGAAGACTGGGTACGAGAAGACGCACTGAGTCGACTTCGCACCACGTTCTCAGCGACTGAAGCAGCAAAACTTCCCATGGAACCTTGGGAAACATTACCCAAACTTCCGAGCGAGATGTTAGACCGAGTGCGAATTGTAGAACTGCTGTTACTACTGCTGCTAATGGATGACTTCCCTCTCGCCATTTGCTCGTAGTAATCGATTTCCACAGAATTTTCCGAGCGTATTTCTCGCTCCGGAGTCGGTGTTTCGGGGCCAGAAGAAGAACGTGGCGAAGAGAAGTATGTATCACTACTGTTTAGCGAAGAAGCCGGAGAGAGAGGTCGAGGTGAGGCCGATCCCAAGCTATTGTACGACGAGTCCGTATCCGAGTACTGCTCGGAGAACGAACTCGCTTCCGAAGAAGTTCGTTCTTCACTCGGTAAATCTGACTCGTCTAATATCTCTGACGAAAAGTCTCTGGAACATCGGTAACTCAAAAGCGATTCTTCGCCAGTATTGACTTGTGATGAATTAGACTTTGCACGAAATATCTCATCTGACGAGCAGTTCTTCGTGGTCTGATTATGCAAAACAGAAGCCTGATCCATTGGATTTGTCCTACCACTTTCTCTTTTATCCTCCAAACTAAGCTCACGTTTAATAATGGCCTCCATGGCGTCGTCAGCTTCATCCTGCACAACCTGATGTTTCGCACCGACTTCGTCCACACCCATGACATTCTCTCTATCTCTTGCGATACCTTCTTCCGTAGAATCAAGCTGCTGCTCCGTAACACCACCACCTTGGGGTTGTGTTACAAGAGCTTCAGTACTCTCTGCATCGGATCCCGAATCAGAAACCACGTCAGATTTCCCCAACTTAAGCCGCGGGACACACATCCCAATCAAACTACTAAACATCCCACCGTCTACAACATCGAATTCACCTTCTTCCGTCATTCCCTCGGAATCCTTCTCATTTCCTAAGACCACCACATCAGGGCCCTTATTGCTCCCCTCCTGAGCTTCCCTACTTTCCTCCTCTGGGCCCTTAGGAGGGGCACCGACTTGTTCGGTACCCTCTGTAGTCCGAGGGGTACTCAGTGCACTTCGAGGCGACTCTGGTATTGGGGTAAGAATAGTATGTATTCCTTTAAACATGCCGAAAGGTCGGAAGGTGCAAAGATTGTCCATAGATTCCTCGGCTACATCCAAACCTCCCTGGGATATCGTCCTGAGTCCGAGTTCCTCCCGGGCCTCTCTCTGCTGCACTGTGACCATTTTGATGTCACTTTTCTTTTTAGTCTTCCCTTTCTTTTTACTGCCTTTAACGTTTTGTTCAGGTACTTTGTTCTTCGTCCTAGACTTAGGTTTGCAAGTAGCCGCTGTTTTTCCTCCACATTTCTTTCCTTTCTTTCCCAAAGTATGTTTTTTATTCCCCATTCTGTTGTCGTCCACGGGCCCAATCGGGGGATGCACAGCAGATTTGTCCACGGGTGGTACAGGTGATGGGAAAGGGTTTGTGATTTTAACACTACTAGTACCAGGTTCTTCCATTCTGGGTGTTGCCCATGCATGTTTTGGCGGACTGGGCTCTATAGGTGCATTGGAAATTGTGCCATCGCGACTGTCGTCTGGTTGAATCTCTTGCACAAACGGCTGCTTAGCTATTTGACCTGACACATTTTGATGAGCGTCAACCAGGTGGTTCTCGTTTTCTTCGATATTTTTCAGTGTTGTTTTAACTGTGTCTTCCACAAGCGAATGATTAGAAACATCATTTTCGGAGAACGATTTAAGAAAAAGTTCAGTTTCTTTTCTTACCGATGATGTACTTTTAGAGTAGGTAGGTGCACGTCGAGAAGAAGCGTACTCATTCGTAGGCCGAGCAACCAGGGTCGATTCTAGTAAGGAACTTGTCTCACCCACAGTCTTAACAACGCCTGTAGCACCACTTACCCTGTTTATGGTGTTATCAGTTGAAGGAGAAGACGACACATCTTTCTTTACAATGGTGCACGAGCACAAGCCGGTGTTATTGTCACAAACACAAGAGACGTCATAGCCTGTCATGTTCGGGGAAAAAGGAAGAGCGGGTTTGGTTAGAACAAGAGCTTTGCTATCGCCGCCCTCCACAACAGAAGAGTTCACTTCAGAAAGTTCACTCTGAGGATGAGGTTCTCCATTGCTCTGCTCGACGATCTCATCTCCAGAGTTTTTCCTTTCTTTCTCTATCGATGGATCGCTTCGGAGTCTATTTTCCATTCCATTCAGAATTTTAAGAGCAGAAGCTTTCCTTTTATCGGTAAATGGAATCCAGAAAACATCTTCACTTGAACGACGGCGCGGTTGGCATGATTTACAAATTTCTCTTTCGGTGTTAGACGAGATAGTATCTCCTTTTGATTTGGTTGTTTCGGGAAGAGAATCTCCACACAGTGAGCACTGTCCCGTCGCTAAAGCTTCCAAGTTACTAAGATCGATGTAAAATTTTGTTCCATTTGATGACGACTCTTCAACTGTTTGAACACTAGTCGGATCATTCTTTTCCATAGTACTTCCATCCACGGGAATCCAAAACGAGGGGCGTGGAACTGATTCAAACGTTCGTGTCATGACTGATTCGCTATCTTGTTTCGTTGTGTCGGATTCCAGCTGTATGTCCTCTGGACTATTGCGTGACACAATGCGCGGGGACGGAGGAGGTGGCGTGACTTCTCTCACTTCGGACAAAAATAATGATGAAGACTTTTCATTCCTTCGGCCTTGTTTTGTAAGCAGATCTAAAAAACAAACAAACAAACAAACAAACAAACAAAAAAACAATACAAAGTGGCTATCTTCTTTCAGGCTCATTTCAAAATAAAACCCGATGCAGTAAAGATGAATCAGGTCAAGTATTGGAACATTACATGAGGTTCGTTCATCGGGGCACTCCGTTAGTCTGTTGTCTTGTTTACTTATTGTCGCACATTCTCGTCGAATTTTTCAAAACCTTGGGGTGAATCAAGTAGAACTACCATCTAGCTTGAAACTTTCATCCTCAAGAACATTCTCACGTAATAAGCTTTACATAGATAAGAAAATACTTTGTACTCATTATCTGTCTTGAAAACTTATCCAGACACTTACCGAGATCGATGATCTCCGGCGTAAAAGCGATGTTCTCTTTGGTCATTTCTGACGTCGTGATGGATCGAAGCTCTGGTGTCAAGGCTCTTTTTCCTCCGAGCGGAGGCACTCGTGAGGGCACCGCCAACCTAGAACTTGGTACCAGGCTTTCAGAAGACGATCGAATACGCGCTTCATTCCTAGGTGTTCCAGGCGGTGATAACTTACGCTGATACGAGAGGACTGGACTCGACAGTCGATGATGTAAGCGATAGTTGGGAGGAACTGGTGACTGAATTGATGTCTTTCTCTTACGTAACATGGGTTTCGCATCTCGCAGGTTTCTATGGAGACGAGCAAAAATCTATTTTTTCCCAAATCTCGCAGCTTTTAGTTTATAAGGATTAATTCATGCTTAGAGCCTTTCGTTCTCTTCGGTCACAAAGTCTTGCACAGTTAGTAACGCAATTAGCTCGCTTCAATATATAGGCCCAAATTCTCTCCATCCACGACCAACACTCATCCCTCAATATCAGCTTGGACCGCTTCATTATCCATCGAAAAGCAAACAAAAACAACAAAAAGAAAAAAAACAAAGGCTTGTTTTCATTACTGTACCTCACATTTCTCAATTCAATGTTGAGAACTGATAAGCCTGGCAGTGCTTCTGAAGACCGTGCGTCTTTTAATCCTGGAGCTAAATTAAATAATTGCGTCAATCATACTGACAAATATTAGCCTGAAAAACAAAACTTAATCCGCTTAATCCCGAGGGAAGTTTTGATGTGAGTTTGGAAGTAGTCTGGGATCGCAATAATTTTCCTTAACTTAGTGCCCTGATTGGTTCTCACACCACCTCTCAACAAATCAAATGCAAAACCGAAACCAATCGTTACTTCGCCATTCACGTTTTCCCGCGTTCCAGGAGGTTTCTTTAGTTCCTCAATTGCATCAAGTTTTAATCGACCTACTTTTTCTCTGAGAAGTGATACTTTTGTTTATGATCGAAATGCGCCCTGAAGTCTTCCAAATTAACCCTTAAACTTCCAGAAGTAATTGACGCGTAACTTCTTCCCATAAGTTTTAATAAATTATCTAGAGAACAGTTGATAAACGCGTCACACCATTCACAAACCTGTTAACTCTTGTCTTCTAGGCTTCCCTCGTCCAACCAACTCAGAGCTGGATCTGAAAGTAAGGGATAACTCGGGTTTCTGCGCCGAAGGAATTCTAGGCATGCGCACGTCAGACGGTTTATTTGATACGGGATGGCTGGATCTAAACACAAACAAAAAAAAAGTAATACCGACAGAAGTAAGCGAATAAAGAAACAAATGTATACACCACACACTGACCAACTGGCAATAAGATTCATAGCAACAAACGGATGGATTATTGGGTGAGATACAAGTGCGATTAACACAAGGAACAACTGCAAGACAGCGTGTTTATAATTATTATACCTTTCCTTTGGCAGAGAAATCTCCTCTGAGAAACTCTGTGGCTTTTTCTTCAGTTTTCCTGTGGGATGGAGAAGGAACGAGCTTAATCAATCACTTACACATGCCTGGGTAGTGCACCAACGCAAAGCAACAATAGTGTCGTGTACTGGCTCTGAAAAATGTCGGGGTCAGCAATAATTTACCACATTACCCATCAAGATGCTAAACAAAGTTAAAAGAAAACCTCTAATACAGCATACAGAACTGCTCTTGTGGTGCACGTTATTTTGTCCTTTATTGTCCACGGGTTGGGTGAAATACACATATCTAAACTGTAGGTCACTTAGCCTGCAGAGCAGGCGTAATTTTATCGGGCAAGTGCTCAATACCATCTTGGTGAAAATTATAGCTACCATCTTTGATTTTTACAGCTGCGGAAGGCTGGGGAGAAAAACATATTTGTACTGAGGGGGCGAGTCCAAATTACCCTGCTAGCAGTTCGTTTCTCCTACGTTGAACATCAAACATGGTGGTTGAATAAACGATCGCGAACTTCTAAACATTAACTTCCTAGTAAGACACCTGCATTGCAAGCTACTCAGGCAGCCTTTTCTTTCAACTTACGCTCTTTTCTTTGTGAAGGGGCTGTGTTGACTCGAGAAAATGAATCCTACAAAATAATAGATATGAAAAATGGTAAATAAATTTAAACATGAACAGTTTTTAACCAATAATAATGGTTATAAGGATTATCTGACTGTTACTCTTTATGTCTAATTATGCTTTTTTTTTGCTTGCATCGGAGTACTTACAGCACTTAAAAGATTGCCTTTCTTCTGTTCTGTTGTTTCAAGCTTGGATGGAACTGACTCCTGTTCATTTTGAGGTGGAGCCGGTGCTAAATGGGATCGCAACAGAGGATTCGAATGAGAATATGAACTCAATGGTCAAATAAGAAAAATTATATGAAATGTAAATAGATTGGACCAAGCATCTATTAATGATGAGTAACAATAAATGTAGGGGGGGGGGGGGGCAAACTGACTGTGTGGTAATATATACTGACGTTTTTCATTATTTGATGATTGTCTTCACAAAGACACACATGCCATCCAAATTACCTGAATAGACCCTATGCGAATGGTATTTGCTTCCTTGAGTTTGCCCTACCCAAGCCTCTGTAAAAAAGAAAAAAAAAAAGAGAGAGAGACAATTTATTAAATACAGACAAACACGGTGTTTGCGTGAATGCTAAAGCGAGAATTTTCTGTGAAATGTTCCCCGTAAATTTTCGGAAGGATCAAACTTTCTATCTAAATCTTGAGGGTCACTAACGTTCCCAATGAATTATTACGCGAAACTTTTATCCATTGTAATTGAATTTTGAAAAGCCGGTACTTCGAGAATTTAATGAAGCATTAATGCAATTCAAACAATAGCTGCCTCATTTCATTTCGGCGTTTGCATAATTTTTGCACAATCCTGTTATCAAATTATGATCACTGGACATAAAGCACACCACAACGCCGATCTTTTTTAAATATATAAACTGACGTTACCTTTTAAAGCCTGTTGCACTCTTTTGCCTTTGGCTACATCCACAGCAGAAAGTCCTGCAAGAGACGAGACAATCTATTTGATAATTTAACTGAATTTACAGAATTCAAGTACAGGTACAAAGGTGGAACTCGATTCAACATACAAGTTACCTACAATGCGATGTGACGCTTCAGCTAACATGGTTTAAAGAAATGCTTGTGAGCTCCAAATTGAATTGAGTAATGAAATCAGTTTCACCAACCATTATCATCCGTGATGGTAACATCAGCTCCATGATGTAGAAGGGTATCAGAGACCAGCTCAAATCCATGAGAAGCCTGTTTTGTTCAAACAATAGTAAGATGAAAACACCTATTAATAGTGAATAGGCAGGTCTCAAAACGTTCACAACTAAGAGGCAAAAAAACTCTATTCCCATGCAAAAGGGTCCAAATGGAACAGTGATCTACTTTAGCTATTTATGGGACTTTCTATGCTCACCGATATCTTTGAAAGATTTTTTTCTTTTTCAGCCCCTTCTGTAGTCACAGCTACCTATTTTTCCACTGGCAGGGCTGTGGTCTAGCAGCGCCCGGTGGCCCCTGACGTCTTACTTTTGTTCTTGGGTGACCCTGGAATCTTAGGTTTTTCAGAAAAAGCATATGCTGGGCACCCTGGATTTCACAGTTTCTGAGCACTGGACTCCTTTCAATTTTCCTTAGAGCACAGCCCTTGATTGGTCACCCATGCCAAAGACTTTAAAACTGGTGTAGCATCAATGATCACATGTTACAAGAGCTGTCACTGATTGGGAAGCAAAAAAAAAAAAACAGTAATACTAAAAACTAATTGTTGCACTCATACAGCTATGTGAAGAGGAGTCTTTCCAACATGTCCCTTGGCATTGACATTAGCACCCCCCTCGATCAGAGCCAGCAAAATAGGCTGATTGTCCTCTCTGGTTGCACAGTGCAGGGGGGAGTAGCTGAATCAATCTGGTACATCTGTAGGAGAAAAGATCATTAGAAAATAAAAACATGCACGGTTTAGTGTTTCTACAGCAAGGGATGCAGACAGGCAAACAGACAATTGCTGAATAAAGGGAGTAAGTTTCTATTAAACAAACTATGGTGCTCTGTCAGGGAAGAGGGAGGGGGTAAAACAAGATAATTTGGTTCTCTCAACTGAGTTGATAAATGTAAATTGGCCACCACAAAGAGTTTCTAAAGCTAACATTTCGAGCGAATGTCACTCCTTCAGGGCAACAGATGGGTAAACTGAATTCAGGATTTTATTTTAAAAGAAAAAAATAGGTTTCTTAAATTCAGTATTTCCCAGCCATTAGTGTTCTAATCTGGGTAAAAAAATTTGATAACTCACCAATCTCACTGGCTCCCTCCTGTATCAGGATATTTACAACACCCTGGGCATGGCTTCCTTTTCCATGAGCAGCAAAATGAAGAGGTCTCTTGCCTTCACTGTCTCTTGCTCCACAATCTCTATAAGTTTACAATTTACATTGAGTGAGAACAGTCTATTGTGAAATTTGATTTGTACATGGCAGTACCTGTGGGTAACATTTCTGAGAAAGTACTGAGTATCCAGTTTTTTTTACAAAAAAAATCAGCTGCACTTCAGGATTTGTATACATCTTAGCAATTGAATACTTATACTCATGATTTACTGGACTCTCTCCAAATTTATTCATTTTTTTAAGATTATGCATTACTGTATGCATGTCCCAGAGATTGTATACATCTAAAACTGCAGAAACACTACACTTAGAGTATCAATTGATACATTAAAGCAGAAACATGACAGGGCGGAAAAAGCGCACACTGTAAGTACCTCCCGTTGTCCGATACAAAGCCTTAGAAAACTATTCTAAGGCTTTGTATAGGACAAAGGGAGGTACTTACAGTGCAGGTGTTTTCCCTCCTGTCATGTGTTGGTACAACACTCACTAATAACTCAGAAAACTGTGAACACTTTTGATTTGAATCTGACAGGTCAGTTATGTACTGGCGATTAACACAATACAGTTCAAGACACACAAATGACCATCAAAATTGTGTGGTTTTGTTTCCCACACCTTAGAATAAATGCTTCTGCTGTAACATGCAATGTTTTCTTTTCAGTTGTAAAGTAATACGTAATGGTTAGTCTGTGACTTACGCATTGTGAGCTATCAGTTCCTTGACAACATCAACTGGGTGATAGGAATTCTCCAGTACAGCCTTTTCAACTGCAAGATTAAATGAAATTTATCATCTACAAAGGACTACATGACTGTGTCTAGAGACTACAGATACTATTATAGTACTATAGATTTCTATCACTGACAAGAAGCTCTTTTTTCTGATTGTTCTGGCAAGAGTAGTCCTAAGGACTTTTGTCAATAGAGGTGATGAACATTTCAGAGTCAACTCTCCTAGAGATTGTCGCAATGTCTGCAGTCACCTGAATACAGAGGAAATGCTTTCTAAGGACTATCCTTACCCAGAGGATCTGAAAAATTATTACTGGAATTAGTTAACTTACTCTTTTCAAAGAGATTTATATCTCTGGTGACCAGCAAAAGGGGTGTCAATCCATCAGCATTCTTGCAGTTTACATCCAGCCTTGCTTTAGATGACTAGAACAGATCATTCTTGAATAAATAAGATGTTCATTTCAAAGCATAAAAAAGACTTCCCAACTCTGAGCCCTAATATGATTATGTAAGATGTATGCAATAGTTACTGGATGAAACATAAGAACCATAAATTCTCGTTCTAAAATATTGAAGGATCTAAAGTTAACCATGTAACTGTCAAGTGACACATCTTTTGAAGCAGCTTGACTGGATTAATGTATTAACTCTTCGTAGAAGGTTAACACTTACCAGCAATTTCTTAACAAGTTGAAAATTTCCTTGCCAAGCTGCTTGTAGTATATGGCGAGAGGAGTAGCCTGTGTTCAAGAAGTATATATGCATATAAACTTTTAATTTGGTACCAAAATCAATAATGCATAATGCTACATGCATTTCTTTCAGTGTAAATTCTAAAATCAATTGTCCACAAACCTTGCCTTGCAACAGAACCTGAAAGGTGAGACAAAATATCGTATTAGGAAAAAACTACATCAAGCTTTCATCAGAGGATAATTTAAAAAATAATTTCAAAATACAGCCAACATACCTAGCAGGAGTGGTCTCATGGAATCAGTTGCAATATCAAGCACTGTCTGTCCTTTGTTGTTATGTAAAGTGATGTCTGCTCCATAGTTTAACAGCAGCGACACCACCTGAAGCAGAGAAATACCCTCTTGTTACAGGAAACTCTCTCCTAACAATAGCTTCCTTCCAACAAAAAGTTAAATGCAATCCTTTTGATTCAAATATGTCAGCCCCAGATTTACAATTTGCTTCTCTTTGAAACAGACATACAATTTGTCTCTGCAATGCATGCCAGTCTTAAAATGGACTGCTTTCAGAGAGTTGACTTCAACTTTGTTGATAAACATTTAGATCAAATAGTAATAAAGAGCTCCCTCCTGTTACCAGTAGTTGCAGACCAGAAAATCCTGAAAATCCTTGGGCAACATGGTCAGTTATGTTGTGTCACCCAGTTCTGTCTGCAAGCTTACATATGGGTTATTGACCAAGCATGAGACCACGATGACTGGATATTGGCTGAGTTCTTTTTTTGGGCTTTTAAAGACCAAAACAAAGTCATGCAAGGTCCATAAAAATGAAAAAAAAGGAACAGGGTTCCACACTAATGATAGCTAACTAGCCACAGACTAGTTTTGGCTGACAGTTTTGGCTGATGGTTTTCAATTTCCACTAGTCAGTTTGGCTAGTAAACATACAGAAATTGTTGTAATATCTAAGATGTCACTAGCCACTCAGCTAGTAAGTTGAAAAGTTAGTGCCCAGCCCAGAAGAATGAGGCTGATATCCAGACATCTTGACTGAACATGCTTGGTCGATAATGGATTTATTATATGGCAAAAATGCTTCCCTCAATGAGAATCAAGAATGACTTGTTCGAAAGAAAGCCAAATGTGTTTGTGGCACAATAAACACAAGAAGGTTGTTTATGTTTTAGTTTGGACTGTCTTCTGCCACTCTTTTGCCACTTCATCCCCCAGATTGAATAAAAGTCCCAAGCATTGTACTGTAAGTCTGCTACACACACTGTTTTCATGTTGCGGGATCAAAGCAGGCAATCCTGAGAGGGCAAGATGGCTCAGGTAGCCAATCAGAACACAGGATTTGCTTCATATTGCCCAAGGGTACTGTCAGCTATATAATAAACATACTTATGGTATAGTCTGTATTTGTTTTACTGTTAAATTGTCGTTTGCTCAGATGACTTAATTTAGATTGAATTAGTTCTAATCAGTGCACGCGCACCTTTTAAAGCATTGTTATCAAACTGGCTTCTTGATATTTGTTAAGATACATACAAAAAAACTTGTTCCATTGCTTATAAAAAAGAAACCTGCAAGACCACTTTATCCACTTTTTATCTCAGATTGTGTATGTGTATTTGTGAATTCAAAGTCCTATCCAAAATGATACTCCTTTTCCCAGAGTATAGCAGAATTCAATAGGATCTTGCGCAAAAACTAAAACAGTGTGCACCCCAAGTGACACAACCACATGGTTTCAGTATTCTACTTTTACAGCTTCCGTGCGCAATTCTATGATCCCAGAATGCACTTCAAGAGCTTAAGAAAAAGGCTGAGCACCGCATGTAGATAAGAGCAATTGAAGTTTATTTTCCTCATCCTCGTGGGTTCAAAATAACTTTCGATTTAAGTGATCAGTATGAAATATCCTTAATGATGCTGTTTGACGCCATTGTATATCGGCCCTAATTGATCTTACATCATTACCTTCTCGTGTTTATTCATGGCTGCAAGCATAACAGCCGTGAAACCTTCTTCTCTATCTTTTACATCCACGTTTACAGACTAGAAGAGAACAGAAAATTAAATTAAAGAAGGCTGTGCTGTCTACATAAGAGCAGAATCACGCTATTTAAGTAGTTGCCAGTAGAAATGGAAACCAGATCAAGATACAGGCGCTTCAATCGTGTTGGTAGTCTGTAGGTTCAACTGTAAACGATTTGAAATCATTGTATATTTCAAAAGTGATGAAATGGCTTTGGATTCGAGGTACCAAGGAGTTCGAAATATTAACCGAGTTCAAGCAAGCCTTTTGAGTGAAGAAAGTTCACATGTACGGCGAATAAAGAATAATCATCAAAAGAGAAGCTTGAGCTTACCGCATTTCTAGATGTACGAGCGAGGAAGTTCTGTACCCTTTCGATGTCACCATTCTGCAACGTGAAAAGATTGTTACCATCTCGAAGCAAATGTAAACAGCTGATCGAGAGAGAAAAATAGTGTATGCATCCATCAGAACACACGCATTGGAAGCCTACCTTAGCTGCATTTAAAAAGAGCTCACTGAGATAATCGTCAGCCCTGGATGAAAAAAAAAAAAAACAAAACAAAAAAACACAAGAACAAACTTAATGTTAAAAGGAAATTTCAAATAGATACAATGACTGAGAGGAAACCGTGAAACAGGAAATTCGAGTGAATTAATCTGATCTATATTTATCATTTACCGTCCATTGCTGAAAAGTCTCGAGGTTATATCGTAGTAATGTCGCATACAGTCCTTGCTTCCCCGGGCGCGACTAGATTGGCAAGAAAAACCTCCCTTCGTCATTGCACCGATGATTAAAGATAAAGGCGAACCGCCATTTGTTTGGACTCCATTGGCGGAAAATCAGCGTGAACATAGACGCTTTTCGGCCTTTAAAAAACACGATAACTCAACGTCAATATAACAAAAGTTCTTTGGCTTCTAAATGATACCCATAATTCAACTTTGTATATTTCGCTGCACTATGGCAATGGCCAATCAGAGAGCAGTATTTCAACAATTCTGTTGGGTTGCGTCATTTTCCCGCAAAACATCCAAATTAATCCATTCAGAGCGTTCGACGATAGCTTTTGTTATGCATAAGAAATTTACCTGTAGTTATTGCTAGTTAATCTAAAAGTAAACTCGCGTGAGAGAATATTATTTATAAAATGCTTAAAATATGCCTTCAAACTTTACCTTTAGATTAATATTTTAAATATTCTTATGATTTTGATGCTAGCATCGGTAATTTCTTGATAACGCGGTCAACTGTCTTGATCGATAATTCACAAACTATTTCTAGTATAATCGGCGCGAACAAGCACAAAATTTCACCCAGAATATTGAATTCCAATGGCTATATATATCTTATTAGGCAAAATACAAAAAACCAGTAAATATACTCAGCAATACTACACAAGCACAAAATTTCACCCAGAATATTTGAAGTCCAATGGCTATATATATCTTATTAGGCAAAATAAAAAATAAAAAAAAACAGTAAAAATACTCAGCAATACTACACAACAAAACGTTTATTAAGAGATTTATTACCCAACAAGCCAAATCGTTATTTAAGTGCAGGCGAATTTCGCGGATATCTCTGGAGTACAAATATCGTGTGATATGAGTACAAATATCGTGTGATATTTGTACTTATCTCGCGCGTTATTTGTACTCTGCGAAGCACAGTTGGATAATAGTTATATCTATTATACTAGTCCAGGAACATAAATAACAAAAATATGGAGCATAAACTTGTCTTGGAGTACAAAGCAACTGGCTTTGTAAATTTATGCACAGCTCGCGTGAGCACGGGCTGTTTATGAATAATAATTTAGCGAAGTCATGACACTTTGTGGTAAATTGTGACTAAACATTAGTCTTCAACACTTAATCTCCACAAAAACAGCCTTAAAAATTCAAAAATTTTTACATGATGACTTCCACATATGGATTCGTCGTGAAACCATTGCTTATGGCAAATGCAACCATCACGAAAATTGCCTGTTCTGATAAAGTCACGCAAAGTTATTACGCTCGGAATTAACAAACGTTGAAAGAAACTGTTACAGATTTGCCAGGGAACTGATTAGGAACGGATAATCAACAAAATATTTTCTTTACGCCCCCTTCTTTATCTTCTATGTACAATTTGTATTCCTTTCGTATTTTATTTCAACTTTACCTACATCACGAAATTGAAGGCAATATCGGTAGGTACAGTCAAGTCGTTGATATCATCGACGAATGTTTCAGATATTATTTTCGTTCCCTTTCTCTTCACAATTTTATACTTTCAGTGCAATGAAAACATACGGTGATGCCCTAGAAAATAAGTTAAATTTAAAGAGTACTCACTTTTTCAGCGGTATTGGGTTTTGCAGCCTGAAATAAGGCATCGTATCTGACCGCCCGGGATATCAAAATAACACGTATTTTACTTCCCGGAGAGAATACCACCATTCGGCCTCAAAAGAACATTTCTCTACCACTGCGATCAGTCTGGATCTTCCTTGTTTTCTCATGACGAACACAGCGTGCTACGTATTTAGATCTACTCTGTGGAAATTTTCCAATTGTTTCCTTGTTTCTATAGCTCAGCATTGTGATTGGTAAGTCTCGCGTGAACGTTTCAGCTCTTGAGGACACGAAATTAGTGTTCCAATTTCCATGAAAATGGTACGTGTCGTCAATAGTCACGTTATATGCATGGGTGACACGCACGCTACAAACAGGTAAACAAAGTCCGAGACACTATAAGTGGTCTTTCTAATAATGGAATCAAAGAATCTTGTGGCTTCCTCTTTCCGATCAAACAACGAAAATACGGTAATCGAAAACGGAAAAGTCCGAGTGGCATTTTTTTTTTACTAAAAGTCTAGACGTGATATTTTTCCAGCAGTTAATGCCCTTTCGAGAAAATATAGAGTAAAAAAAGAGGAAGCGAGGTAAAATTTAAAAAAAAAAAAAAAAAGGCGAAGAAAAAACAAAGTGTTATTTTTCTTCCTGTTCTTTAATGCAGTTGAGCCCTCGGTACACGGAAGTTAGACAACCGTGGAGACCTCGAACTCACAGCTTCATTCCAAAAATATCACCATCTCCTGGTTCGTAGTTCATGGAGTATTCTCGTTTTGTCCGTTTTTTACCTTGGCAGGGCTGCTTTTGCATTGCTGTATTCGCGTTACTGCACTCACAGGCGGCCCAAGCTCTCTTTAAGAACCACACAAGGAACACAATTTGCATGTCGATTTATAAGGATTTGTATGGGATTTTCTACAAGATATCCATGGAGATAGTTAAAAGCGAAAATATTAAATAAAAATGGCTTACCTTATTCCATACGTGTGTTGTTTGCTCCTGGTGTCGTTATTTTACCGATTTAAGCGGTTTTTATTTAATCCTGGTTTTCTCTTCTTAAAGAGAAGACAAGGCCAAACACTTCTGTTCGGACAGCCTGCCGGACGAAGGATTAAAAAAAAACGCTTAAATCAACTTAAATCGGTAAAAT